CTTCCCACCCTGACACGAAATGATTTGAAAACAACCTGCCCGCTCACCCAATTTTTTTAAAACCTATTATTACCCGAACTGTAGCATGAAGGAGGAATAGAAGGAAAGCAATTTATAAGAAAGCGTACGTTTCAATCTGTGAATGCTTGGCAGTGCTGCCCTGGAAGAAGTAGTGAGGTAACCGGGTTCAGTCACCTGAAAGTTGACTGCCGCAAATGCAGATGGCTAGGTCTCGGATACCAGCGTGGCCAGGGGAGGGCGTGATTTTTACCAAATGGTGAAGAGTTCTTGGTAAGGTTCCAAGCAAAACAAAGAGCAATCAAGCCTTCATTTACGTGTAGTTGCGTTCTAGAAAAATGTAGTGTCAATTAAAACGGTGCAAAAAATACTTTGCATGCATTTAGATATAAAATCGAGCTGGCCGCAGATCATCATAAACGGATTTTTCCACACACATGCATGTCCAGAGAGACTTTCCAAGGGTGTGGGACCGCGGGATGATTCTTAGTTGGGCGGAACGGTCCCTTGCATCCCAGAATCTTAGAATCCCTAGCCCCAACCTCTAAATGCTGTGCTTCTGGATCTTTGGGGAGAACTGATCCCAACCCCTCCACCTTCTCAACTCCTCCCACCATGTATTTCCAAAATGTCCTGGAGGTGGCAGTACCTCCATAACTGAGAAAGGCTGGACTGTAAAACTACACAAGCCTAAGAACATTCTTGCTTGGTAGAGGTGCCAAGCGCTGGAGATGTAATATCTTTCATTCTCTGAACAAACATTGCAAAACAGGTACTGTTAATTCCATTTTAGTTATCAAGAGCCGGGCTCGGTGGCTCAGCCTGTAATCCCGCGCCTTTGGGAGGCTGAGATGAGTGGATTGCCTGAGCCCGCGGGTTCGAGACCCGCCTGGGCAGCGAGACCTCATCTCTACCATAAATCAAAAAATCAGCCGGGCGTGGTAGCACAAGCCTGTAATTCCGGCTACTCGGAAGGCTGAGGCGGAAGGATCGCCGGAGCCCAGCAGGTCGAGGCTGCGGTGGCCGGGAGCGGCCACTGCACTCCAGTCTGGGCGACAGAGTGAGACTCCAACTCAAAAAAAAGAAAGAAATTAAGAAAGTGAGGTTAAGAGACTTGCCCAAGATCACAAGGCTAAAGTGTATCAAAGCTGAGCTACAACCCATGTCTGACCTCAGAGTCCACCAAGAAGCTTTGTGTCACCTGGGTTGTTACCTGTGGCCACAAGGAAAGTTCGTTTGTCTGTCTTGGCACGGCTGGAAGGAAAATTTTAGCAAAGTGAGTTAGAGTTATTTTACACTTTAGTCATCAGTTTTCTGACTTTGTTAGTCTTTATGAGAAGTGTGTGATACATTTTCATTACTCTCATTCCAGGAACTTCCGGGCATTGGAGACCATGGATAAATATGATGTGATTAGGGCCATTGGGGAAGGTGCCTTTGGGAAAGCTTACTTAGCTAAAGAGAAATCAGATAGCAAGCATTGCGTCATCAAAGAGATCGATTTTGCAAAGGTAAAGTTAAGAAATTCAAGTTCCTGTTAATTTTCAGTGGATATTCAGCTGGCTTTTAATCCAAATGAAAAGGAAAATTTTTTTTACAATTATGAATGTTAAGTTTCAGTTGATTTTTGTTCACTCAGACTCCTAAGCCCATTGTCCAAACAGCAACCAATAATCTTATTTTTAAAAAGAAAAGGAAAGAAGAAGAGAAAATAAAGTCACATCCCTGTGACTCCTTAGGGTGGTCTGCAAGGCCCTGTGAGATACCACCTTCCTCTATTGCTCTGACTTTCTCTGTGATCCACTTCTCTGTCTCTTGTTCAGATCTACCACAAGGCGTCTTCTGCAAACATCCTAGCTAAGGTAGTCCCCAAACCCCAATCACCCCTTATCACACCACACTGGTTTTTTTTTTTTTTCTTAATAGCATTTATAATGCTCTGAAATTACTTTGCTTTCTTATTTGTTCATTTGCATATGATCTGTCACCCTCAGAGTGCAGAACAGTTCCTGGCACATAATAGGTGCTAAAAATATATATATATATTTATTGAGTGCATTGGATGAATGGGGGAAAATCATATATAATTGTTAATCTAATGATTTTGGAGAATAAATATATTTAATGAGAAGGTAATCATTTTTTATACATCCATGGTTATACATCTTGGTTCATGTTTACATCACCCTTTTTAAAAGTGATATGTGCATTTCAAAATATATTAGGACAAAAATGTCCACTGTGTGCTAGAATTAACTTTAAGGCAAGTCTTACTGGTTGCTTTCTAGAGGATTTGTCATTGAGAGTAGCTTTAAAAATTCTATACAAAGTGTGTGCAAAATGGACTATACAAGTTGCATGATGTGACTATTTAATGTTCCTGAATTATTCTAGTGGCCCATCATAGCTTCCTTCCATGACATTATCTGGCTCACTCTCTTTTGTTTATCTGACTGCTCCGTCTCAGGCTTCTCTGTTTCCTCCCTTTCTATGTCCCCAACCATCTGTTCTTTGCCGACCTTATCTTTCTGCACACTGTCACCTGAACTGCCTCACCTCAATGTTTACCACTAAGTAGATCACTCTTAAAACTCCCCCTCTAACCCTGACATCTTCCAGTGCCTTAGTTCTGTTTCATCTGCCAGCTAGATATCTTCAAGTAATGTGTGTGTTAGTATTCAAAACTGTGTAACATATTACCCCAAATTTAGTGGCCTAAGTGATAAACATTTACTATCTCAGAGTTTCTGCGGACTAAGAATTCAGGGCAAGGATCATTGAGATCATGTTGGAGGCTAGCTAACATAATTGTATCCAAAATCAAAACCAAGTAGGAATTTCCCATCTTCCTTATTTATTTATTTATTTTTAGACAGGGTTTCACTCTGTTGCCCAGGCTGCTGCGCAGTGTCATGATCACAGCTTACTGTAGCTTCAAACTCCTGGGCTCACCTGATCCTCCTGCCTCAGCCTCCCAAGTAGCTGAGACTGTAGGTGTGCACCGCCATACCTGGCTAATTTTTTTTTTTTTTTTGCAGAGACGGTTTGTTGCCCAGGCTGGTCTCGAACTCCTGAGCTTAAGCATCCTCCCACCTCAGCCTCCCAAAGCACTAGGATTATAGGCATGAGCCACTGTACCCAGCTGGAATTCCTCATCCTTCTAAGCAGATCCTCCCCCTTTTCTTTGATGTGCTGTACTATGTTAATGATACCAATGTCCTTGTGGTAGCCAGGCTCAAAACCTTGGGGTCATCTGTGAGTTTATGTCTCTCCATAGTCAATTACTTGCTCAACACTGTTGACTCGTTCTTAAATATGCTTTATTCCTTTTTGTCAGCGCCCTGGGTCACTTGGATCCTTCAGTTCATTTATCGTGGCTACAGCTTTACAGTAATCCAACTGTGATAATGCCTCCAGACTTTCACTGAGACAGAGGTTGTAAAGGAAGAAATGGCTAGGTTTGACTATATAAAAATATAAAACCTCTGTGTATCAAAAAACACGATGAATATATTAAAACAAAATGTAAAAAATGCCAAAAGTATTTGCGAGTATTAACTAAAAAATACCAGCCTTTTATAAATCAATAAAAAGACAAAACCCATAAGTGAAGTCATCATGCAAAAATTTCAAACTCATTAGCAAGCTAGTATAAACAAATAAATAAATATCACTTTTTGCTTACACAATTGAGGAAGATTAAAAGAATAAAAATAGAGGAAAGCAGGCCTCTTTTACCCTGCTAATGGGAAGGTAAACTGATCCCACCCTGAGAGAAATGTATCAATTATGTATCCTTAGAAGAATCCATGCCCTGTTTGCTTTAATTGGTTGGGGGAAGGTTCACAATATGTTGTAAAAATGAAAATAATCCAGCCATAAAAAGTTATGTGTGTATATATAAGTATATATATATATGTGTGTATTATTAATGTATGTATATGTTGTAAGTATACATATATACATATATGTGTAACTATTAACATATGTATATGTATATCTATAGATATACATATACACATATATAACATCAGCAGTGATTATTGCTGTATGGTGAGATTTTACCTCCGTATTACTTCATTGTCAGAATTTTTAATATGGGGCATATGTTATGTTTTTTAAAATTATGAATTGTATCATTTGTATGAGCAGAAAAAGCAATCTTCAGGTTGGAAAAGAAGAGAGAAAAACACACACATTCTAAAATCTAGTGGTTCTACCTTTGGGTGTTTATTCAAAGGAAAAACCCAGAGATGCACTGTTAGAAAACAACTTAATTGTCCAATGGTAGGGAATTGGTTAAGTAATTTATGAAAAACTAAGTAGCTCATAGATATCATGCTGTATGTGAAGCATTGACATGAGAAACATGGCAACGCTTGCTTGCTGATTGAGAAAATAGTATGTGTAGAATGATGCAATCTTTGTAAAAATAGATATTCTGTTCATATGTAGGTATGCATATACCTACGTATATGTTCACATATATTCAAAAAAAAGACACACCAGATTATTATTATCGAGGTGGAAGGTGGAGTTAGGAGTAATTTTTGCATTGTGCTTTTATATTGTTTCACTCTTCATACTTATGAGATCCTTTCTGATTTGTTCCCAAATTACATTTCCAGATTTCTGTCACATACCCTATGTCTTTTTCACACCCAGATCCTTCGGATTCCAGCCTCTGTGCTTGCTCATGGGGCTGCTTCTTTCAAGGTCTTTGTTTGCTGGTATCCAAACATTGATTTTTCTATCAGCCATTTGTATTTCTTTTATTTTTTGTGAGTTGTCTAATTATGTACTTTGCCATTTTTCTATTGGGGTATTTGCATGTTTTAGTTGTATTAATTTTTCATAAATCTACATATTATAAATACAAAATCTTGGTTATATAGGTTGCCAGTATTTTTATCTAACTTATGTTTGTCTTTTAATTTTGTTTATAAAATTCTTTTGGAAAATAATAGTTAAAATTTTTTAAGCTTGCTAAATCTATCAATCTGGTAGGAGTAATTCAGTTATTTTTTTTTTGAAACTCATATGTACTAACTACAATTTAAGTCACAGACACTGAAGCTTAGATAAGTTAAAAAAAACTTACTAAAGGATACTGAAAGCAAGTGAAGCTGGAATTAAGAATTTTTTTTTTGAGCCGGGGTCTCTCTCTGTCACCCAGGCTGGAGTGCAGTGGCACCACCTCAGCTCACCACAGCCTCAAACTTCTAGGCTCAAGCCATCCTCCCACCTCAACCTCCAGAGTAGCTGGGACTACAGGCATGTGCCACCACGCCCAGTTAACTTTTTTTATTTTTTGTAGAGATGAGGTCTTGCTGTGTGGCCCAGGCTGGTCTTGAACTCATGGATTCAAGCAGTCCTCCTGCCTCAGCCTTTCAAAAATGCTGGGATTACAGGGGTGAGCCATCTCGCCCAGCCAGAGGACGTTAATTTTTGAAAACATTCTGAAGCTTAAATGAGAATGAGAAATGTGGGAGCTCACACATTGTGTGGGGGCCGATGTTGAAGAATCTGAACAGGTGGAGGCAAGAAAGGCAGGACAGCAGGGACAGGAAGTCAGAGTAGAAATGACAAGTCGGCAAAACATTAAGAGTGAGGAAGAAAAGGTAGAAATGAGGAGTGGCCACTGGTGTTGGCAACAAAACAGTTGAAATTATTGGCCATGGATGATAAACAGAATAATAAGAAAGTATAGCAAATCTAAAATGAAGTCACAAGGGACCATTTTTATTTGAAAATGAAAAATGTAGTACTCTTAATACAGAATTCACTGATCTGATTTATGTAGTATATGACATTTTCTAATTTTAGACTTCATTTGTTTCTTCTCAGCAGTGATTGCTGCAGGAAGGTTGCGTTTTTATGAAAAATTCCTTTGCTACTGAGAGATAGATATTATAACAATTTTCCTCCAGATGTCTAGATAATGAACACACTACTACCAATCCAACTTTTCATACAGCAAAAATTCACCAGAAATGTTTATTTTCTTGATTATGATTGTTGACAAACTATTGATTAGTGATAAGACACTCTGCTAATTCTAGAATGGTCATTTCCTGCTACTGAGAGTTCAGTTTTAGAAATCACATTAATAGACAGTGGAATCCTGGAGAATTTTAGATGGAAATGAAAAAAGCATCTTCTTGAAAGCAAGTTATCTTTACAGACTACCTGTCTCTTAGATGCCCATCCAAGAAAAGGAAAATTCAAAGAAAGAAGTCATTCTTCTGGCAAAGATGAAACATCCGAACATCGTAACCTTCTTCAGTTCATTTCAAGGTTTGATTTTCTGACATTCTTAAACTATTTAAATAAAGTATAGGCATGTTGGCTTACATAAAAAGATATGGTTCTGAAAACTGTATATACATTAGTTTTTATAAATGGTCATTTCCCGATTTACTTAAACTGTAATGTCATCATTTCCTCTCTAGCGAGTGCTTATAGACAGCTTTCTTATATTTTCTTAAGTTTTTCCACCTGTCCTTAACTCTCACTTTCTCACTCTCCCAAATAGTTAATGATGGGTGTACTAACTTTGCTGCCCTAACAACTCCCAAATTTCAGTGGGGTTCAATAATATACATCCATTTCTCACTCACACTAATGGCTACGGTGGGCTGAGGTCTTAAGTCTGGGGTCCAGGCTGAAGGAGCAGCCCAGATATGGAACGAGCTGTTCTCATGAGCAAGAGAAAAGAGGAAGACACAGAGCCCACCACAGCATCACTCTCAAGGCCCTGGGAGTGTATGTGTGTGCTGGGGTGGGAGATATTCTGCCTATATGAGGTCCTGTGTGCCCTATGGCGACAGGTGGGGCTACACAATCCTCTCATAGGGAAGGGACAAACAGCCACATAACCATAGGCAAGCCAACACCAAGACAGAAGGGAGAACTTTAAGGAAGTCCCTTTTCCACACATCTGAATATAGCATCTATTCTGCCTCCATTCATTTCTCTATTCCAAAAGTAAATAAATAGTAAGTGCAGAGGCATTAGCAGTGATCATTCATTCACTTCACAGATACTTATGATATTATATGCTAGACATTGTTCTAGGTGTCAGGAACTTCATGGTGAACAAAACAGATAAAAAGCCCTGTCTTTGTGAAGTTTACATTCTAGTGAGAAGAAACAGATAATAAGCAAATATACAATATGTCAGGTGCTTACTAAGCTGTGGCAGGGCTGTATGTGCCGACAATTCCCCCTGGGGCCCCCACAGCACAACCCTCAGCTCTGGGCTGTTTTAACACAACTATGGTCAATAGTTCATGGAGCAGTATTGACCTAGATATCTTTAGTATCATCAGGTGAGTAAAAATAGTAAGTAAATAAATAGTTATTTTTTTGAGCTTTTAAAACCACTGCATTCAAAGTCATTCTCTATGCACAACCGTCCTTATTTCCTGGGTACTTAAAAGGGGAACTTTTAAGTCTTGGGCTTCTCGTGAGGTTTTTCTGGGCACAGAGCAGTACACCAGGGCAGGAATTGAATTATATGGAATAAACTTTAAGGACAGCCACCGAATCAAGTGCCCTGCGTTCCTGTCCGTTGATTCCTAACAGTGGAATAAGATGTCCTTGTTTTCCTCTTCCTCTGGGTTATTATGTGGGAATTGGTTAAGTAATTTATGAAAAACCAAGCAACTCATAGACATCACGCTGTATGTGAAACACTGATCTGGGAAATACTGCAGTGCTAACTCCTCATCCTCAGGCTTTCCCTAAACTCACAGTTCGAGCTGATAGCTCCCTTTGCTCATCTTCCACAGCACTTTTGTACTTAATATATGAATATCTATTTGTACGACATGATTGTGAACCTGTTTAATATTTGTCTCCCTTTAGACAGTAGATCAAATGGATTTTGGGACTCCATCTCTTTTGCTCACCACTTGATCCTCAAGCATGTAGCATATACTAACTGCTCAGTTCATATTGACTGAATGAGTGAATGGACTGGATGTCTTTCGGAGACTGGACTGTGTCTTCATACCATGCAAGATCGATTTTTCAGGACAGTTTACACTGGATACTATTACAAAACTCAGGCCATTCTTATAGTATAGATAACCCCTACTGGCTGGGCACTTATGCCTATAATCCTAGCACTTTGGGAGGCCAACAGGGAGGACTGCTTAAGCCCAGGAGTTCAAGACCAGCCTGCGCAACATAGCGAGACCTCATCTCTACAAAAAATTAAAAAATTAACTGGGCATGGTGGCGCATGCCTATAGTCCCAGCTACTCGGGAGGCTGAGGCAGAAGAATCACCTCAGCCCAGAAAGTTGAGGCTGCGGTGAGCTGCGGTAGTGCCACTGTACTCCAGCCTGGGCAACAGAGTGAGACCCAACTCAAAAAAAAAAAAAAAATCTGAAGAGGAAATTTCTGTTATTTTTATTATTTTTTAATTATTATTTTTTAATTTCTGCTTTTTCCACTTTACAGATAAGCTAATGAGGCACACATAAATTAAAGGAACCTGCCCAGAGTTACAGAACTAAGTGGTAAATTGGGATGAGAACCCAGCCCACTTGATTCCACAACCAGAATATGGTTGATAGATATCTGAAACCCTTCCAGCACCAAATGTTGTCTTTTCCTACAGAGAACAGCAGGCTGTTTATTGTCATGGAATATTGTGATGGAGGAGATCTCATGAAAATAATCAACAAACAACGGGGAGTGCTATTTAGTGAAGATCAGGTAACAACTTCTCATTTGCTTTTTAACATATATGTGTGGGGGGGATTAAACTTACAATATCTTAAGTAGTAACCCATGCTTATATGAAGCAGTGTGTTTTGGTAGATAAATTCAAACCATAAAATAATACATTTGTTTTCTTGGTAGATTTAGTCCAGAACAAGTCTACAATTGAACTCAAACTAAATCTCTTTTTGAGCGTGAAGTTTTCTTGAGAAAAGATAGTCTCTTTGGACAGTCTCATGCAGGATACCTTTGAGATAAATCTTCATGGTTTAAAAAAATGTTTTTTGAATGTGGCTGTTCCCTAGCCCTTTTAAATGTGACAATATTTATAACTTCACTCTTTTTCCTTTTACCAGTTAGTGCTCTGTTTTAAAATAGCTATCCCACTTTGCTAGGGAGGACAGAAGATCTTAGCAATGCCCATTTAGTTTCATTGATTATTAAGGAGAGAAAAAGTGAAGAATAATGGCCTCAGTTCCCATTTTCTCTTTGCACAAACACATTTTTCTTCTCTACTCCAAATCTCCTTTGGAACGCCCTCCTGGGAGTCTCACCCATGAAGGAAACAGGTTTGTGTATGTAGAGAGGAATCCAAAGTAGGACCCATGTGATTAATGGTTAGACCATTGCTTCAAGCAGCACACAGGAATGGCCTGCCATCTTTTTTTTTTTTTTGACTATTTTTGTCTTTGTTCTACTTTAGCAAGTAAGAGCATCATGCCCATATTATTTCCTCCTAGAGTTAAAGTAGAATATTTGGAATATATTAATGATTAAAGAATCAATATCACTAACCTCTGTAAGATTAATCAAGCATTCTTCCTATGCTCATTTACATTGTATATTAAATTCCACAGTCATAGAAACCCTCCTTTCTTCTTACATTGTTATTATTTTGCCACACTTTATAAAAATATTTTTATGGCAACATTTTGAATTATATTTCTTTTTGTTGGAAATGAGAGGTTCATGGCCAACAAAAATAAGATAAAATCATGACTAAAAGTAAAATTAAGTTTTTTTAAAGCAAAATATGTGTTGGTTTTTTACTAGCTAGATAGATCGATATTTTATTACCATTTCTTCTTCCTCTGGGTTTCCCTGCCCTCTTCTTCCTCTTGGTTTCCCTGCCATCGGCCCCCTCACCCTACTGAAAAGGAAGAACCAGTGGCACCAGGATCATCAGGAAACAGGGCTGCTTGTTTACTATTCCTGATGCAGTTAGCAACTCACTGTTAAAAAGGAAAATCTGGCCAGGTATGGTGGCTCACACCTGTAATCCCAGCACTTTGGGAAACTGAGGAGGATTGCTTGAGCCCAGGAATTGGAGACCAGGTTGGGCAACAGCAAGACTTCATCTCTACCAAAAAAAAATTAGCTGGGCATGGTGGTGGGTGCCTATAGTCCCAACTACTCAGGAGGCTGAGGCAGAAGGATCTCCTGAGCCCAGGAGATCATTGCAGCAAGCCATGATCACTCCACTTCACTCCAGCATGCACGACAGAGTGAGACTTTGACTCAGAAAAAAAATGAAAGAAAGAAAATCATGCTTCATTCCCTTGCTTCTACTTATTTTTTTCTTATCTTTTTCTGCATGTGGAATTCCCTTTGATACCAGTGATATTCTGATTACCTTTCGACACCTCCATTTTTCTTTTTTTCTCTATTTTATTATTGAGATGTGGGGTACAATTCAGGATTAGGTACATGAGTAGTCTACGTGTAGGTGAAGTTTGGGCCTTCAAATGGTCCTCACTTCCCCTGGTTTAGGACCAGGTATGCTTTGTGATGTCATGTGCGCTCCCCTCTCCCGCCCCTGGTAGTCCTGCCACTGCCAGTTCCTCCCTTGCAGCATTTTGATAAGTGTGCAGTACCCACTTATGAGTGAGAACATGTGGTACTCAGTTCTTTGTTTCTGTGATAGATCACTCAGTATGATAGGCTCTAAATCCATCCAGTTTGCTGCAAAGTTCATAATTTTGTATATCATGTGTATGTACCACGTTTTCTTTATCCAGTCCACTTCTAATGAGCAGCAGGGTAGGTTCCATGTTTTTGCTATTATGACTAGATGCACCTCCATTTTTCTAGATGTAAAATGAAAACAATAATATGACAACGTATATATCTATTAGCTTCATTTCCATAAAAACACACATGCAATATATTATTTCCTTCTTTTTGCCTGTTATCATGAAGACATTTCAGTGACTACCAGACCATTCAATACTTTGTTTTGTGTTCCCTCTACAGATCCTGGGTTGGTTTGTACAGATTTCCCTTGGACTAAAACATATTCATGACAGGAAGATATTACACAGGGACATTAAAGCTCAGGTAACACCTCAGAGAGAAGACCAAGACACAACTAATCTTTTCTTTTCTTGAAGTGTCTCAAACATATAAACATTCTCAAACATTTTCTCCATTTATAGAACATTTTTCTTAGCAAAAATGGAATGGTGGCAAAGCTTGGGGACTTTGGTATAGCAAGAGTCCTGAATAAGTAAGTACTTTTTATTTATTTAGATTAGAAAATATAGTTTATTTAGAAAGCATATTAGAGAAAGAGAGAAAAGATTCACCTCTCCAAGGTAGGGAAGGAGACCAAAGCTGATAAAAACATGGCCTGGCCAGAGCTCAAAAAGCAACATGGCTAGGCCAGGGCTTAACAAAACCATGGCCAAGTACTTTAAAAAATATTTTTTCTTTCTATTCAAAACAGCTAAAATATGTATTTTTAAATATAATGAATTAAGAAGATATTAAAATCTTGATTGTCCAAATAATTTTAGGTAACTTTAAGCAAATGCATTAAATCATTCAGATTGTACTATTTCTGTGATTAAAATTCCCAAGATAAGTTATGGCAGAATAGAGTGATGTTAGTAATGTTGTGATGCGAGTCAAATATGAAATGTGACTGATAATATGCATAAAACTAGTAAGAATACAGGCAGATTTACACTTGCTAGGGGAATAAACGGGTGCACCTATTTTGGAAGACAGCTTGGTGGTAATATGCATCAAGAGATTTTTTTTTTTTTTTGGTGTTTTATTTTCAGGAAGTTATTCCAAGGAAATAATTTGAAATTTGGGATAACTTAAATACCCAGTAATTGGGAAATGGTTAAATTAAATAAAACTCAGCATAGCCATGTGCCTAAATATAGTATATAATCAAAAGACTTCTTAACAACATAGGGAAAAACTTTGTTATATTAAGTAAAGAAAATGGAATTCTGAATTGTAAACACACTGTGATATGAAAAATATGTGTGGAAAAGAGGAGGGAAACATATCAGAATTCTAACAATAGTTGTTTTAGGTGCTAAGATTCTGGGCCACTTTTTTCTCCTAGATTCACTTTTGTATTTTCCAAATTTTAAATTATAAGATTGCAATTTGATAATTGGGAAGAAGGAAGTTTTTCTACATCTGAGAGGTTTTTATAATATAGTAATTGTATCCTCCTGTGGAATCTTTTAGCCATAAAATTTTTTTTTTTTTTTTTTTTTGAGTTGGAGTCTCACTCTTTTGCCTAGATTGGAGTGTAGTGGCCGCTCCCGGCCACCACAGCCTCGCTCTGCTGGGCTCCAGCAATCCTTCCGCCTCAGCCTTCCAAGTAGCTGGAACTACAGGCATGCACTACCCTGGCTAATTTTTTTTTTTTTTTTGATTTATTGTAGAGATGAGGGCTCGCCAAGTTGCCCAGGCAGGTCTCGAACCTGCGGGCTCAGGCAGTCCCCTCACCTCAACCTCCCAAAGCGCAGGATTACAGACTGAGCCACTGAGCCTGGCTAAAAATCTTTTTTAATGTGTCAATTTTTAGGGAGTGATTTATAAGTATAAAAATCAACTGATTTTATTTCATTATTATCAATGTACAATGTTTTGCTTTCTTCTGATCCATGCATGTATCAAATTTTGTATTATAATTTTTACACTTTTTTCTTGCATGTCCGTGTCTTAAGCCTTTTCTTATTCCAATAATAAACCATGCTATTTTGTTATTTGATATAATTTACTAGTTCCATGGAACTTGCTCGAACTTGTGTTGGAACACCTTTTTACCTGTCCCCAGAGATCTGTCAGAATAAACCCTACAACAATAAAACGTGAGTTGCTCTCAATTTGAAATTGTCTGTAAAATCTGATGGATGATGCTGAATTAAGATTCCAAGGTTAGAATTCTAGTCCTTTTCTCTTTTTTATAGTACTTTTGTAATTTCATTTTCTTCATGTGTGGAATGGGGATTTCAGTGACTACCCCTGACCAATATTACCTGAAGCTTTTAAACTTATTTAGAAGAAAGTCATTTCTCTTCATTTAAAGATACAACAATTTAATGATTACTCAGCATTTAATGATGTAATAATGTCAAAAAACTGCAGCCACTGTGATATCTAACCTTGTATTTTGTTTTCATACCTTTTATGTACTTGTACATCTAATGCACAGAAATATTGTAGACGGTCCAATAGAAGGCCATGTGGTCTGGTAACTGAACGCTGAACTAAAGATCTAGGAATCTTGATCTTGGCTCAGTTGCTAAGCAACAGATGACCAAGTCAGTTGACATCTGTGGGCCTCAGCTCCCAACCTGTAGCAATGAAAGGATGGACTAGGTAATCTTTGAGGTGCTTTCCAGCTTTAAAACCCAACTTGTTTTTTTATGAATGTGATATCAGAGTCCAGTTCTCAGCAGTAATGTTAATATACATAGCAATAAAAGGTAAAGAGAAGGTAGTTTTTACCCCCATGTAAGGAGAAGGAAAAAGTTTCATTTTTCAAAGCTGGCTGCCATTGAGCAAGTTGGCCTAGACTGAAGACTGGATTCTTTGGGAGTTAATTGTCCTTTTTTTTTTTCTTGAGTTGGGTCCTCACTCTGTCACTCAGACTGGAGGGCAGTGGCAAAATCCTAGCTCACCACAGCCTCAGCCTTCGGGTTCAGGAGATCCTTCTACTTCAACCTCCTGAGTAGCTGGGACTACAGGCATGCACTACCATGCCCAGCTACTTTTTAAAAATTTTTGTAGAGACAAGGTCTTGCCATGTTACCTAGGTTGATCCCAAACTCCTGGGATCAAGCAATTCTCCTGCCTGCACCTTCCAAAGTGCTGGGATTACAGATGTGAGCCATTGCACCCAGCCTAATTGTCCTTCTGTTTAGGAAAATGACCAAGGAACATTTGACTGTTGAACTCTGATAGAGATAAATGGAAAGCAAAGTCTAGATGATAGATTTACAAAAAGAATAGTAAGCATTTCTCTATATAATAAAATAACAGGCTTTTTTTTTTTTTTTTTTTTTGAGACATCCCTGGCACCAAGTTGTGCAGTAATGCTGGATGGACAGAAGGCAGGCTGTTCAGAGTGGAATGTGGTGCTCTCAACCGACGGCCCTGGGTCAGCTGCATTGTTTTGTTTTCTTGTAGTGCTTTTTAGAGAATTTGAGTCACCATTTAGATATTGAAAGACTTTATATAGATATGGTGCTTCTGAACATTGAAAGATCTTAGCAGTAATTAGCTGGGTAGTCACTGGCCCCTTTAGACCAGCAAACCATTCCCTGACTCACCATAGTCTTCCACACACAGTGAGTGGTCTCAGGGAGTGGTCCCAGGCCTGTACATGGCCCTACACAGCCCCCAGGCCACTTCAGCACTGGCCTGAGCCCCAGACATGTGAATTTGCTACACTGGCTACAGAGGGCACTCTGTATAGAAGAGAAATTTGGGGCCTATGTAAGACCTAGTGAAAAAAAGTGTTAAGAAGTGGTCACTAGGCAGGCATGGTGGCGTACGTCTGTAGTTCCAGCTACTTGGAAGGCTGAGGCGGAAGGATTGCCTAAGCTCAGGAGCTCAAGGCTGCAGTGGCCGTGAGTGTGCCACTGCTCTCCAGCTTGGGCGAAAAGAGTGAGACTCCAGCTCAAAAAATATAAATACATACATATATACATACATAAATGAAGTGGTCAGTGAGTTTCTAGAAAATCTACAAATTCCAATTCCAATTTGCTTTCCTACCAATTCTGTAATTACCTTCTATTTTACTCAGACCTTCAGTTTAAGTGTCCCTCTCGCTGACACATACTCCCCCACAGAAGAAATGTTGCTGATTAGTGGAACCATTGACCTCACTTTCCTGATTCCTTCTTGTTTTGACTCTTCAAAGACCTCCTTGACTTCTCATTATATTTTCTTTGTTTTTGTATAGTTAATTATGCTTTTTGTGCTATAAAATAACTATTACGCCAATCACATGTAAACATTCGCTAAGTACTAAGTTTGTAAAGAGCAAAGTTGGGGTCATATGTTGTAATTACTCTTTTGAAATGTTTATTGAGAACCAGATACTATGTTTATCACTTAATGTAACATTGGTTCTGTCAAGAGCCTTGCATAGATTACACCTGTCAAAAATCAACCAAATGTTAGCCGAGCTCGGTGGCTCAGCCTGTAATCCCATGCCTAGGGAGGCTGAGGTGAGTGGATTGCCTGAGCCTGCAGGTTTGAGACCCACCTGGGCAACTTAGTGAGACCTCATCTCTACAATAAATCAAAAAATTAGCCGGGTGTGGTAGCACGCACCTGTAGTTCCAGCTACTTGGAAGGCTGAGGTGGAAGGATCCCCGGAGCCCAGCAGGTCGAGGCTGCGGTGGCCGGGAGCGGCCACCGCACTCCAGTCTGGGCGACAGAGTGAGACTCCAACTCAAAAAAAAAAAAATCAACTCAAATGTTATCTTTTGAGTCCAAACAAATCCATGTTTGAGTCCTGTCTCCCTCCCCAAATTGCTCAAAGTTTCACCATATACACATTTTCTTTGACCATAAAGTTGAAGTCAATATTGAGCATCAGATTGTAGCAAAGTTTGTATACCTTACATCTGCTGGGATTCTGACAAACTACAGATTGTTTTTATTTTACCTCTTATTAGGAATAAGAATTGATAATACATCTGAAAGCATTTGTAAAAACTGATCAACCTATATAAAATTGCAAAGCTTCACAAATTTAAGGTACTGTAGGTATAAAAGCGTTTATTAAAAATGATAGATATTTTCTTTGCATGGACACTCTTATCTTTCTTAGGGATATTTGGTCTCTTGGCTGTGTCTTATATGAGCTCTGCACACTCAAGCATCCTGTAAGTATGTTAATTGTCAGATTAATCTTGAATTATTGAAATCATATAAATGAATTTAACTTCTGGGAGAAAAAGGTTAATGTTTGGTTTTATTAGATTATTAAAAATTATATGAATGAGCTATTAAAAAGAATGATAGATCTATATGTCCTGACATGGAAAGATGTCCAGGCAAAATTATAAAAAGTCCAAATCAGAGAATAGTATGTGTAACATATTTTCATTAAAATGAAATCATGTGTAAATATACGAAGGGGACCCAAAAACCTTTGGAATTTATTTATAAAAAATTGTGTATTTTCACATATTTAAAGTTCAGTCACCTTCAAAGTACTCTTCTACCAATATGCTTTTCCCACTGCTCACAACAGTTTTTGAACTCATCAATTTTGATGCTGTTTGGTGCTTTTGCTATTTTTGTTTCACCTCTTCCAGCAAAACATTTCCCTTTGAGGACTTTTTTCATCTGGGAAGACAAAAAAGTCGCTCAGGGGCAGATCAGGTGAATAGGGAGGAAGGGGCACAGGGGTCTTGCTGTTTTTGGTCAAAGACTGCTTAACATTCAGCGTTGTGTGGGCACGTGCTCTCATAAATCACCCATCATGAAATGGACAAAAGCATTGAAAGAATCTCTACCAAAAATAAAGAAAAAGAAAATTCACTGAAGCCAAACACAGCCTCTCACAACAGTGCTAGCTGGTACACTGATTCTGACTGGTTCCTGGAATACTTACCTAGTGAGGGAAGCCTGTCCTACAAGGGGCCCGCCCTCCAAAAGATAATTTCGGGTTTTTTGGGTCCTCCCTCATACATATTCAGCAAAGTCTAGGAAACCAGGCATTAGCTTCTAGGAGTCTTCTTTCAGTGGTCACACAGGATGTGTTAATTCCTCCATCAACAAGTTATGGCAACATCTGTGAAATGTTGTCTACACGGGAGGCTCATTAGATGTTCAGTGTCCAAGGTTTTTAGTGGGGACTAGCCACGCAGGCACCCTCTGCCTGGCATATACCAAACTTCCAGACTCTCAGAAAGAAAGCAGGCATTCAATATCAACCATGTAGTTTATATAAATAGTTGAGGCAAAGAAAGCCACTCTTAACATTGAGGCAATGATGGGAATCCTCCTGAAATCTGAGTTCCCAGACACCTACCAAGAGACAGCATTGAAGCAGACCTTTCTAAGAACAGACTGCTATGTCAACTCTTCTATGCAGCTGTCATTATTGTTATTGTTACTATTATTATTGTCAAAATTTGCACAGCTAGCATCTCACCAAAACCTGTGCTGCCATGATATTGAATATTATTATTATTATGTATAAATAACCAATGCTTCATACAGTAGAAGATCTTCTGGTTTATAAGTTTTGAGAAAATGAAAAAATGTTTATGTTAGGTTAAAAAAAAGAAAGAGGGCTGGGTCCAGTGGCTCATACCTATAACCCGAGCACCTTGGGAGGATGAGATGAGAGGATTGCTTGAGCCCAGGATTTTGAGACAGACCTAGGCAACATAGTGAGACCTCATCTCTACAAAAAATTTTAAAAATTAGACAGGCATGGTGATGTGCATCTGTAGTCCCAGCTACTCAGGAGGCTGAGGTGGGACGATACCTTGAGCCCAGGAGGTCAAGGCTTTAGTGAGCCTTGATTGTGCCACTGCACTCCAGACAACAAGAGTGAGACTTAACCCTACCTCAAAAAAAAAAAAAAAAGAAGTAAGACATAAAGTTTCATATTGTGTGACCTCACCTTTTTAAAATAAATATTATTTTTTAAAAGATTGAGAGCCAGGTGTAGTGGCTTACCCCTGCAATCCCAACACTTTGGGAGGCCAAGGCAGGAGGATTGCTTAAACTCAGGAGTTCTATACCAGCCTGGGTAACATAACAAGACCTTGTCTCTACGAAAAAATTTAAAAATGAGCCAGGCAGAGTGGCTCCTACTTGTAGTCTCAGCTACCGGGGAGTCTGAGGTAGGAGTCACTTGAGCCCAGGAGGTTAAGGCTGCAGTGAGCCGGGATCATGCCACTATACTCCAGCCTGGATGACAGAGTGAGACCCTGTCTCCAAAAAATAAAAATAATTAATATAAATATATATATGTGCCTGTATGAAAAATACCTCCAGTGGTACAATTATAAGTATTTTTCCTGACTTTATAACTTCCTATACCTTTCAGTTTTTTATAATGAGTAAATATTATGCTGATAAAAAGAAGAAATTAAGAGTGGAGTCTCTGTTGCCCAGGCTAGAGTACAGTGGCATGATCACAGCTCATTGCAGCCCCGACCTCACGGATTCAGGTGATCTCTCTGCCTCAGCCCTCCAAGTAGCTGGCACTACAGGCATGTGTCACCATGCCTGGCAAATTTTTTTTTTTTTTTTTTTTTTTGGTAAACTCAAGGTCTCACTACGTTGCCCAGAGTGGAAAACTTGTTTTGAATAACATGGCATGTCATTGAGTAACTGTCTGTATTATCTACTCACAAAAGATTAACTGGTGAAAACAATTGAGGATGGACCATAGTGCTTCTAGCTACAGCTTAAATTGTTTTGCTTCTTGGTATATTTATTACTCTAGTAATAGTATTTAACTTTTCTCTGACTTAGTATCATTACTCCTTGTCCTTTCAGTTTGAGGGTAACAATTTACACCAGCTGGTTCTGAAGATTTGTCAAGCACATTTTGCTCCAATATCTCTAAGATATTCTCGTGATCTACGGTCCTTGATACCCCAGCTCTTTAAAGTATCTCCTCGAGATCGACCGTCTATTAATGCCATTTTGAAAAGACCCTTTTTAGAGAATCTTATTGCCAAATACTTGACTCCTGAGGTGAGTTTTGAGATGATGGTTTGGATTTGGGCAGCGATTTTGGTTCACAGGTCCTTGACACATGTGTCGGATTTTAGGTCATTCGGGAAGAATTCAATCACACGGTCATACACAGAGCAAGAGCACCAGCCTCACGGCCTGCTGGGAAGGTGGTCCAGGGTAAGAGTGACTTAGCCATGCAGTCAAAAAGCTCTTATTACATGTCACACAATAAGTTATAATGTGCAGCTGACAATGTTGAGGGAAAATTCCACTATATCTATTGAACATGGTCATATAAAGAAATCCAAGTAGTAGACGCAGGAGAAAAGTTATCTTGTCAGGTGGTATAATAGTGGGTGTGCCTGAAAGTGGTATGTCTAGCTCATGCAGGACCCAGAGGATTCAGCTTCTTTCTTCTCATTCATTAGGAAACCTTCATGAAGCAGAGGATACATTAATAGAGATGCTGAAAGAGATTGGATCTAAACTTAACAGTTGTGTTGGGAAGGGATGGAGTGGGAGGGGGTTCACAGGCAGACATGGATGATGAGATGAAGCTTATTTTTCTGAAATAGAGAGGATGGACTGGCAATTAAGAATTCTCTTACAAAGTCCCATTAGAGCTGAAGTTAGGACCTTGAGCCTAATCTGAAACAGTGTGAGAACTGTTACTATGTGATCCCCAAAGAAAGCAGGTGATATTTTTTGGTAATGATAAGTAGAGAAAACAATTTTAGTTGTGATGTCAAGAATCAGCTGGATCTGAAGCATGGTGGCTCACACCTGTAATCCCAGCACTTTGGGAGGCTGAGGCAGCAGGATTGCTTGAGCCCAGGAGCTCGAGACCAACCTGGCAACATAGTGAGACATCCTCGTCTCTTCAAAAAAATTAGCTGAGCGCGGTGGCACAAGCTTGTAATTCCCGCTCCAAAGGAGGCTGAGTCAGAAGGATCACATGAGTCCAGGAAGTCAAGGCCGTGGTGAGCTGTGATTGTGCCACTGTACTCCAGCCTGGGTGGCAGAGTGAGACTCCGATTCAAAAAAAAATCCGCTTAAGTGATGAAGTGCTGTGTGTGGCCAGGGGAAAGAGAATTACTCATGCAATTGATGCCATGAAAGTCAGCGACCCAGGATTTTGCCATAATCAAATGTCTGGACTTGTAGGCTCAGGAGGAGCAGAAGGTCTTGTTATCCACTGTTATAGGGAAGCCAACATCATGGGAAGTTATAAAGGGAAAATGAGTGAGGTGAGCTTCACTGCCATATAATTTGGCTGACTGTGTTATTTATCAGTCTAGATTGAGAAAGTTTGGAATGTAGAAAAGAAAGTGCATTGTCCACATTTCTCATACAGGAAAGTTAGAAAAACAAGACAAATTTTGATGGAGACAAACATGTTAGAAAACCTACTCACAAATTTCAAACAGTGTAACATCAACAGAGTGCCCTGGTAACCCAAGCTCTGATGACTGCATTTAGTTACTTTTACTACTATCTATCCTGTGCGTATTGTCTTTGGAAATGTTAACATTAATTCTTAAATTTTTTTTTTTTCTTTTGAGTTGGAGTCTCACTCAGTTGCCCAGACTGGAGTGCAGTGGCCGCTCCTGGCCACCGCAGCCTCCACCTGCTGGGCTCCGGCGATCCTTCCACCTCAGCCTTCCAAGTAGCTGGAATTACAGGCATGCGCTACGATGCCTGACTGATTTTTTGATTTATTGTAGAGATGAGGTCTTGCTGCCCAGGCGGGTCTCGAACCCGCAGGCTCAGGCAATCCACTCACCTCCGCCTCCCAAACGCGGGATTACAGGTTGAGCCACCGAGCCCGGCTTGTCATCATATTTCTAAACAACTGATTATGAACTTGACTCTTGATAAATTGGGACTGCTCATTATGACATTCCTAAAGGAGTTATTTCTGAAATAGTAGTTCTCTTTGGAGCCCTAAAAATTACTGGCATTCCCAAAAACCTTATCACATAGTTTATACTATGATCTAAAATAAAGTAGGTTTTATTTCGCAATGATTAATTCTTCGCAGGAAATTCTGCAAAAAAGATAGATATATAAAATGTAAGTATAAGCCGGGCTCAGTGGCTCAGCCTGTAATCCCGCGTTTGGGAGGCTGAGGTGAGTGAATTGCCTGAGCCCACGGGTTCAAGACCCACCTGGGCAA